GTCGAGTCGAGTTCGGGTCTTGTAAATATTAACGGGTTCGAGTTCGAGTTTGCTTCAAACCCGACCCGACCCGACCCGACCCTTACGGAGCACTAGTCAATATAACCGGTACGTCGGTCAAAGGCCTCTGACCGACCGTTGACCGACTGTTGACCGACCATGACCGACCGTTACCATCCCTAGTCAAGTATTATGATCAAATTATATTAATGATTGTAAATTTCTACCAAAATCCTTTTGATACGTGTATAACATCAAATCACGACTATAAACTATACTATAGGAGGGTGGTAAGAAGATTGTAAATGGGAAATTGCAAATTTGTAAAGAGAAAATTTGGGACGTGGTTTGAGGAAATTGGTCTAGAAGTCTAATTTGTAAAGTAATAGTCAAAATTCAACATAAAAACATTATGCCATTGTTATTTAATTATTGCGACCATTCGAAAAATGATTGGCGCAGTAAGTGAACTCCAAGCTCTCCCGTTCCGTTTCAATTCATTGGACTTATTATCGTCCAATTCCAATTAATATAAATATCACGTATATTTTTCCTTGAGAGATAGGGTTTTAAGATAAATAAAACCAAGAAATCAATAAAAGATATTAATAAAAAATATATTTGGTTGAGCGAATAATTTTTCAAGGGTCATGTACATTTAATAAATAAAAATGGCCTGGTTTAATTATTTTATTTAAGATTAATGCATCGAGTTCCAGTAAATATATCTAAACATTTAAAATTGTTTTGAGTATTAATTTCGTGATGTTATTTTTCAACTTTTTATTATTAGGCGAAAGTTAAGTTGTTTAATCACGTGACTATATGGTAAAAATGATTTTACTTAAAATTTATTATTCATTTGATCAAATTCAAAAGCTAATAAAAACATCCTTAAAAATTATCAAACACCTGCTTGTAATATTTCATTAATAAGTTTCTTATAGAGGGTCCGCGAATTTCCCTGAAACACTTTTGGATTAATTGGATTAAAATAATAATAATACTTCAAAAAACTTTATGTTTACTTTTCGTAGAAACTATACTTAATTAGGCTTTATTATAGTATTATTCCTTTCTTTGAAAGCTTTTCTTGAATATCGCTCTACAGCCCTTTAAAAATTCTGCACAATTTTTTTTAAAACTTTTAAGCTTATCCATTACATAAGCACTTGAAATCGTAATAATGGCACAGTACTATCGGTATACATTTTCCGTTGTGGCGTGCATATGCGCGGCGGTTAATGATAAAATATGTAAGTTCTGATTTACATAATTGACCGAGCACTCCAATGTCGATTGCATTTTTATTTATTTGACAAATTTATCAAGTTTTGAAATTTCGTTAAAAAAATTGAATTCAATAAAGATTGAAATCTATGATACTATGAATTAACATTGCAAAGTTGTCATGTGAGTACTTATAAAATTATAAGAATGATTTCTCCCGAAGCTTTCAAAATTCCTCCGTTTTTTTTAATGATCGACACATACGGACTTAAAAATTAATTCGCCCGAAAGTATTTGTAATGCCTTCAAGACCAAAATTATCAATCGGCAAGTGTGACTCAATTTAGAATAAAAGTGTGTAGCACATGATAAATAAATATTTATTTTTCATTTATTTTTTATATTTATAGAAGTTGTGCTCTTCTTGGAAGAAAAAAAAAAAAGAAAAAAGGAAAAAAATATGGAACGAATTTCAAGCCAGGTGAATAAAATTTAATATCTTAATTATTCAAAAATTTTATCAAGATTATAAATTAAATTATTGATTAATTGTATGAATTCTTAATATATAAGTGCGAAAGTTCAAAAAATACAAATACAACTTCCGGTAATTTAAAAACTTCATTATATGATCACATATACAATAATCACATCCTTCTCAAATTAGAAAAACAAGGATTCATAACACCAGATGAACAGGCGCATAAACTAATAAAGAATTTAAGTAAACCAAAACACCTTTATGCTCTCAAGTTGCTTTTTGAAAATCCGTTAAATGAATTTTCATCTCAAGTTTTACGGGATTCGTTGGTTCGATTGGCAGATCCCACTCCATTTGACCATTATTCAAGGGAGAGTATGGCTATATTAGAGTTACATTTACGGACGTGGTCGATTGTTTTAGAACGCATATGCTTTTTACCTATGCGTCTTAGTAGGGAACTTCGTGAAAATGTTTATGATTCTTTGGCAGAATTTGTTGAAATTCACAGAAAGACAACCAGAGTAGTACAAGATGGAATCGATAATAACTATAGATATGAATTTAATCAATTTAATCCACAACGAGAAAATGATGAAAATATGATAAAAAAACGAAACTATAATATTGATTTTTTATTAATACACTTGAGGGATACATTACACAGTCTTCGTGATGATGAAACTTGGTTTCAGGAAATCATACGAAGAACAAAGGATTTACTCAATGCCGTTCTTAATATTGCACCTGGAATTTTTTCAGTATTGGTTCCTGCAGCCGCAGTTCCAAAAAACAACTGTTCAATCATATCAATGTTTATGCAATTGCATCAAGGACTATCTTTCAAATACCCTGTATCATCTTATTACGTGGATTGGAGAATCATGCTGATAATTAAACATAACATTGTAAGATGGTCTGAAGGTCCGGAAAAGATAATTAGTAAAAAATTTGGGGAAATGATCTTAATGGAATATCTTTGGGGATTATTAGAAAGAGAATGGAATAAAGTTGCTGATAAAACTATTTTAGATTCCCAAATGAAATTTGATGATTTATCAAATAAAGTTTTTAAAGCATTGAAAAATGTTGGAAGTATCTTACATGATATTACTGGAAGTGAACCTATTGCATTACCGCATACCTTATGGTTTGGAATATTAGATCTTGCACATGACATTGTTAAAAATTCCACCCGAACGGCTACACATGGCCTTTGCTATTATTTGGCGATTGAATCGCTTAACAAAGCACCAAGTAGTTTTATTCAATTTAAATCCATTGAAATATTATTACAATTGCGTTATAATGAATTATTTTCAATTATCGAACTCGATTTCGATCAATATGCTCGAAAACTCAACGAAACTACTTTAACAGATCCTTCAGAGAATTTCCAAAATTTGTTAAATTTTGTTAAAGAGAAATGTCATGAAGACACTAATATACTTTGTGATAATATTGGAAAAGAAAAAGGAAAAGGAAATGGGAGCAAAAGTTTAGAACAGAATTCATATTTAAAAAAAGAACAAATTTACTGCAACATTTTAAATATAATTGCTGATGACATGACTTGTCCGATCAGTCATGAACCAGAAGATCGGTTGTGTATTTTAAGATGTCAGCATGTGATATCATTAGATAATTTAAAAAGAATAAAACAAAAAAAGTGTCCCAAATGTCGAAAAAATATCGGAGATAACGACATAATCTTCTTGTTACAAAGTACTATTTACAAAAATTTATTTAAAAATGATCGCATCTTATCTTCATTCGAGTTGGACGATTCCGATCGAAAATATAATAGTGATTCAGATAATTCTGATATTGATATTATATTGACCAAGAGAAAGAAATTTATTCAAACAATTAAATTTAATTCATCTAAATTATTAAAGTCAATTTCAATTTCAAAAAAACAACATCCGATATATCAAAATGTTATAAGAGAATTAGCAGAACATCGATTTGAGGAAGCCGAATACTTATGCAAAGAATTCTTAAAAACCTTTCCTAAAAGTAATTCTATGAGATGCATTTTAGCTTATACATATAGATGTCTTGATAATCATAAACAGGCACATTTAGTTTTAAATGAGGCCATTCATTTAAAGCCAAAAAATCCGATTTCATGGTACATTAGAGGTGAAATTTTTTTTAGAGAGAAAAAATATGAAGATGCGGTATCTGCATTAACATTATCATCACACCATAGCTATAAAATGAATAATTTGTATTTTATGCTTGGAAACAGTTATTTTCATCTTAAAAATGACATTAATGCATTAGCAAATTATAATTTGGAATTACAAAACGATCCAAATAATCATTTGTGCTTAAAAAATTGTGCATACATTTATGAAAATCAAGAAAAATATTCAAATACTTTAGAAATGTTGGATCGATTGTTAAATATTAGTGAACATGATTCGTTGATTTTGTGCTATTATGGGGAAATCCTTATGCAAATAGGGAAATATGAGGATGCTGAATTATATTTTACAAAAGCAAATATAATAGATCCGGAAAATATTCATAATTTAATCAAAAGATCTATTACTTTTATTGTTCTACATAAATATGATAAAGCTTTATTAGACCTACGTAAAGTTTTACAGTTAAACCCTTCAAATAATTTAGCATATTTTTATAAAGGAATCGCTTATTCTTCATTAGGTGATATAAATGGTGCCGAAATAGCATTTAAAAAGTATGCGGAATTAGATCCCGATGATGATTTTGTTAAAGTTCAATTATATCATTTAGAATATTTACAGAATAAGATTAGTTCTAAAGATATATTGACAAAAATCAATCAAATAGCTAACCTTAGTTATAACAGATCCTTATTGCCCATAAGGTGTAAAATATACATCGAACTAAAAAAATACGAAATGGCATTAATAGATTTGAATATATTATTCTGGTTGGATGATAAAGAAATTTCGTTTCTTTATCTGATAAAAGAATATTCGGATTTCTGGTCATACTTATGCAATTATCATGAGATTAATGACAATGACGAGCTTAAGAATTTGGGAATTGTGGATAAATTTAACATGTGCATGTTTAAAGGTATGTTATTCATATATTTGTTTATTTATTTATTTATTTTAATACTGACCAATTAATATTTATTTATCATAGTAAAGATTTGTTATTTTCTATCAAATCTTGATAATATTGATAATAATAATTTGTCATTTGAAAGTGATCCTAATAGGTATTTATTAACATTGTATAATTATCATAATATTTTGATATCGTACTAATGATTTTTTATTTTATTTGTAAATCAACAGTTTATCTGGAAAGGTATTACGAATTTCATCTGATGAGGAAATGACTGAATCATTAAACTTTCAGAAAATCCCCAAATTCTTTTTTCATTTTGCATATAACTTTGTTGTTTGGAAAATTTGTATCAACAAAGTATCTTCAAAAGACTGTACCTTAATTTTCACAGTAGATACAGGAAAAATGGTAAGTAATAATTATTTTTGCTTATAATGTCGCCGAATCGGTATTAACTTTAGCGTGTTTTTGATATAGAATTATTCTCAGAGTCAACAAGAAAAGCACATTCTAAATTATGATAAAATATCAGAATTGGTTGGATTAGGGTGGATTGAATATACACCTCCAATTAGAATATGCGTACAAGGCTATGAATGGGTACAACCTTTAATTAAAGTGAAAAATGGTTATATCGATATGGTATGATTATATATTATTATTATTATTATTATTATTTGTCATTAGATAATTAATACGTTTTTAAACATTTTTTTTTTGATATTAAAGAAAATTGATTATATTCGGATAACGTGTGAAAACAGACCAATTTATTTTCCTCAAACAGGTCATTTATTACCTACTTACAAACAGTATCCAAATGTTCCGGAAGTGTTTGAGGATAGATATTTTTCAAAGAAAGAAAAAGAAAATTTGCTCGAATTAAACGACATTCTTAACTATTTATAATTGTACATTTTGCATATTAAAATAATTTCATATATGTCATTGATAATAAATAAACATAGTATATAATAATTTTTTTGTTTGAAATTTACAATAACTTATTTTTAATGTTAAAATTTTTGTATATGACATAAGACCTTGCTTTGAAAATTTTAAAAATTGGATCAATTATTTTATTTTATTTTATTTTAACAAGATTATGATTAAAATTTTAGTTATTGGTCAAAAATCCAAAATATATAATTTAATGTTTGTTTTAAATAAATTTATTTAATTTGTACTGTATTTATTCATTTTCTCACTCGACTTGTATCGTTCTTCAAATTTGGCTGAGAACCTCAAATATGGTTATAGCTATAGTTACTGCTACAGATACTTTATTTGCTAATGATTTGAAATATTTCATAATAAAAAGCAATTCTTTGTAAAACAATTCTCCGTATTTCATAAAATTTTTATACAAAATTTTTATACTATCAGATGATAAATGTAACACAAGATCATTCTTTTTATGTTTGCTATTTATATCATTAAAAAGTTCTTTTTAATTTTAAAAAAGATAATACTTCAATAAATCTTCATAAATAGAGTTTTAATAAATTTATTATGGAAGTACATTATTCAAAAAATCTTTGAAAGATAAACTGTAAAATCTAATTAATGGAAGTCAATGTTGTATAGTATTTTTATTGTATTGAAATCGTTGTCAGTCCAAATTGCAGGATCTTATACAAGGGTTTTGCGCGATACCACAATCTAGTACATGGTTCCATACTTCAATTTCATGCACCTGTAAACCATCTTCCTTATGAGTGAGATTGAGGACTTTTCAGAAAGATGAAGTAAAATCAAGTGAAAAGTATATTCAGGAGACTTTACCATGAAATCCATGCAAAATATTTGAATTGGCAAATTGACTTTATTTTGAATTGTATACGTTTTTAAATATTCAATAATTGAAGTAATAGTATATCTGCAACAACCAAGACTTTAAGAAATTTGAAGCGTCCAACTCATTAATTGTAAATATATATCTATAATGTAAAAAAATTAAATTTAATTTAAAATATGAAGATTTTCTGTAAAATATAATTTGAAGTGAGACAAGACATTATTAACCAAAGTTCGTCCGTCGTAAAATGGCGATCGTTAACTCAAAATATTAAATTTTGGTTATATAGCGTAATTATTTTATTGAAATCAAATAAATGGTTTAAACACGTTCCAATTTATTTTAATGATTTGTTGGAAGAAAAGAATTAATTTAGATGTCTACTAAATCTAAACATCTACCTTGCGTTAAACAGATGTAGTGAATTTTTAAAGTAAATAAAATCGGCAGAATTCAATCATGAAATATATATTTTTTTATATTTATAGTCATTTTAAAATTTTAAGCATATTATTATTAATACCGTAGGAATAAACATATCTACTCAACCGTGCGATCATAATTGGGTCAGAGCGTCTAATACAGTGATACAAAGTTTAACATTTATTGTATGCTCATAATGAGTATTTTAACAATACAAATTATGAGAGAATTTCCTCATTGGAACTGAACGATTAAAAGTCGAATGTATTGAAACGGAACGGAAAGTTTTGATCAACTAGCCCAATGGCACCGAAAAATTAGCGATCGTGTGATAATAGGCCTGCATTATGCATAACACCTAACCCTAAATCTAAAGGGTGTGACGGAAAGGACGTGACAAATATGATTCCCTCAAATAAATAGTAAAAATGAATCAAGGCAGGGTGTGATGGGCGTGATAAATAATTCATGTCACGTGATTCTAAATCCAACTGTTCGGAACGATGTGACTGCGGACTTCAATTTCGCAAATTATGTGATACTGGAATCAATTATGATTTAGACTAACTACTATATAAATTAGACTCTTAGACATTTTCTTAAAGTGGCTCATAATTTATGTAAAAACGTTAATGCACTTGTCAACCTCGCAATTTAACTACGCCTGAATTTGAATCTCCGCGGTATCGACAATCAATTCGGACCTTCACGCAAGTTCGGACTCCTCAGGATGATTGTCGAAATGACCATTTTGACATCAAGAATCAATTAATAAGCATTTCCGTCAACCAAGCCGTAAAAAATGGATCTTAGCCAAGAATTCTGTAGCCAAGCCATAGGAAGAAATCTATTATAAAAAGGAGGACTTTTCGCTTTTTATTTTAATTGAATTTGGACAACTTTGTATTTTGTAATTAGATAGTTCTATACTCCCTTGGGCACATTAAAGAGCGCCGGCAGCGGCAATAATAGTTGCATTTTATTACACTTTAAATTATTAAACTTCTTTCTATTTTATTATTTACACATGTAAATTTCGTTATATCGCATTTACATAAAATAAATCTATAAATTAAACTAATTATCTATCACGAAATTACAGAGGTGACACACTCATAATTAATAATGTCATAAATAAATCAGTTAAAAATTCAAAGAGAATTGTCTTCAAAATATAACAACTTGATATAAGTGTAGAAAAATTAAAAATTTATTTATTACGATCATTTACTAATATAATAATATTCTTTACTAAATATTGTATATAATATATCTTGCTAATGATAAAATTTTCACATAACATGATGTTTAAAAAAGATCCGATGGAAAATATATATAGTAGAATTAAGCCTCAATGATTTCAAAAAAAAAATTTTTTTCATCATAATACTGATTTACGCTTTTAACACGTGATTAACGAAAAAATAAACTTTAATTAAGTCAATCAAACTATCCCAGTTTAAAAGTTTCAAAAGAATAGTTAAACCTAATTAAATTACTCAATATAACGAAATACGTCCTATGAATTCTCTTTTTGAACATTTATTTAAGTTATAAGGTCTTTTAATTCAATCAAATTTTCCACTTCTTCTGAAAAGTATTTATCATTAAATACTTTGGGGATAGATAGTTGTAAATAATTTGGTTTTAAGGAGTCGACCATATGTGATAAACGAATAGTCTCTCTTTTAAATTTGGTAAATCGGACATAATCTACTAACTGTAAAGATTGTTAGTTGATAATTCGATAAAAAGCAATAATACTAGGCATAAATACTTACAATATCATTAGAAGAGTTATTAATTTTAATTGATGGTTCAAAATAATCTGTGACAAAGTTATCCATTACAAATGGAAGTGTATATTCAACCCAACCTAATCCAACAAGTTTCTTCAAATTTTCGTATTTTAGAGTATGCACATTTTCGGAATATATATACGCTTAATTAAATAAAATAAATATAAAGTCAGTATAATAAATATATTTATAGAATTTGGTAATACTTCAAGTTACCATTTCTTCTTGTATTCATGCCAAAAATCACAGAACAAGTTTCGAATATTTTGTTGATACACAATCTCCAGATAACATAGTATTGAGAATTTTCCCAATTTTTGGTAAAAATAATAGGTGATTTAAAGAACTCTATATCCTTGCTATTCAATATATATCCTGATAAACTATTAATTACAAAATAAATAAATCTTATTTAACGATTTTATTACAGTCATTATCACGATACAAAGCTTTACCCACCTGTCTTCTGAAATTGTTGAACGTTTATAGTTCGATAAAAAGCAAATCCTTTTTTCTATAAAAAATGTATTAAAAACGTTATTACACTTAATCAATGAAAATTCAAATTTTACCTTTAAATAAGTAATTATTGAACGAGTTATACGCTTTGAAATTTCTAATGCCTATTCGTTTAATATGATTATTTAAGTATACCCAAAACTTGTTATATTGTCGAAATACTTTTATAACAAAGATATTTTCTTCAGACATTTTCCATAACTCGTTAAAATATAATGATGATTTATCATAATCTTCTTTTTCAATAGATAATTTACATTTGATAAAAAGTGATGATGTAATTATATCGAAATTATAATTAATCATTATATAATTCTTTAATTCATTTGAAATTATTCGATTATATCTAAAATTCTTTATTTCACCTCTATAATAATATGATTGATCTAATTGCAAAGCCGCTTGAAATTTTGATAAAGCTTCATCATACTTTTTAATAAAAAGACAGATTTCCTTAATATTAAAAATATAAACATTTTCAGGGTCGATTTTAATTGCTTCTGTAAAATATACTGTAGCTTCATCATATCTACGTAATTTTACAAGAATTTCACCATAATAGCATAAAATTAAAGAATCCTGAGAATTAATTATTAATAATCTACTCAACATTTCTAAAGCATTCAAAAAGTCTTTTTTCTCTTCATAGATAAATGCACAATGCTTAAGGCATATATAATTATGTGGATCATGGTGTAATGTAATATTAAAACTTTTCAAAGCAAAATTATAACCTCTTTCTTGATCTTTTATTCCTTGGAAAAGATAACAGTTTCCGAGTATGATATTTAAATACTTTATTTTTGTTTTATCAATTTTAATTAAAGAATTTAAGTCATTTATTACATCGTCATAATTTTTTTGTCTGTAATGTATTTCTCCACGCATGCACCAAGCAATTGAATTTCTTTCATTTAAATTAATAGCTTCATTTAAATAATAATATGCTCGTTCATAATTATTGAGAATTCTATAAGTATATGCCAAAATGCATCTCATAGAATAACTTTTAGGAAAATCTTTTAAAAATTCTTTACACCAATATTCAGCTTTCTCGTAATTTTTTTCGGTTAGCTCTTTCTTGACATTTTGATATGCTGGATGTTGTTTTTTTGAAAATTTAATTTGAAATATTGATCGTAATGATATGTTTGAATTAAATCTAAATATTTTGTTAATATTCGCTTTTTTAGCCAATATAAAATCATCAGAATCACTAGAATCACTAGAATCACAATTATGAGTCTCTGAATTTTCTGTTTCAATTGATGTCAAATTATATCCAGCTTGATGAAAATGTGGGTATAAGTTCCTATAAATAACATTTTGTGATAAATATCTGACTTCGTTATCTTTAATAATTTCTCGACATTCAGGACATTTACTTTGCTTCAACTTTTTGAAATTACCCAATGACAATATATGTTGACATTTTAAAACACATATTTGATTTGTTGGTTCGTGTCCAATTGGACAAGTCATCTCATCTGCAATAACATTTAAAACTTTACAAGAGTCTGATATTTGCTCTTTATTTATACTTTTATCTGATCTTTTTAACTTTCCCTTTCCTTTCCCAATATCATAATTTATTATTTTAAGATCTTCAGTGAATTTCTCTTGAGCAAAATTAAATAAGTCTTGAAATCTTTCTAAAGAATCAGTTAAAGCATTTTCACTTAGATTTTGAGAATATTGATCAAAATCAACTTCTATAATTGAAAATATTTCCTTATTAATGTTGTATAAGTGAATCAAAATTTCAATTGCTTTAAATTGAATGAAACTACTAGGCGACCCGTGAAATGATTTAATTGCTAAATAATAGCAAAGCCCATGCGTAGCCGTCTGATTAGATTTTTTTATAAGATCATGCGCAAGATCTAATATTCCGAACCATAAGGTATGTGGTAAAGCAAGAGGTTCATTTCCAGAAAGATCATTTAAGAAAGTGCCAGTATTTTTTAATGCCTTAACGATTTTATTTGATATTTCATCAAATTTTACTTGAGAATCTAAAATATTTTGATCAATACCATCCTGTTCTTCTTCTAAATAACTCCAAAGATATTCCATTATGATTTTTTCTCCAAACTTTTTACTAATTATCTTATCAATATCATGTTGAATTATCAACAAAGTTCTCCAATAAAAATAATAACGTGCTATTGGATACTTGAAACATAAGCCTTCGCGTAATTGAGTAACCATTGATGATATCGAACTAGTATCATTAGGACAAGGAAATCCGGATGAAACCTTTGAGAGAACTCCTGGAGCTACACCTATAGCAGCTTTAAGTATGCATTTTACTCTTCGTATTAATTCTTGGAACCAAGTTTCATCATCACGTAAACTATGTAAAGTATCACGCAAATGAATTAACAAAAAATCAATATTATAATTTCTTTTTCTAACTGTGTTTTCAATTTGTTCCAAATTTTTTTGTTGAGAAAATTGATTAGATTTAGGCTTAAAATTATTTTCTAGACCCTCTTCTACCACTTGCGTTATCTTTCGATGTATGTCTGCAAATTTTGCTAATTTATTATATACACTTTCACGAAGTTCTCTACTAAGGCGTATTGGTGAGAAACATATTCTTTCTAAAACTATTACCCATGTACGTATATGCAATTCTAACCTAGCTACACTTTCTTTTGAATAAAAATTGAATGGAGTGGGGGTCTGATAAAGCAACTAATGAATTTATTAAGATTTGAGGTGAAAATTCATTTTGCGAATCTTCAAAAAGTAGCTTTAAGTTGTATAAATTTTTCGGTAGAGTTAAATTTTTGATTAAATCTTTAACGTCTTCCTCTAAAATAGTAAGCCTAGTTTGATTTTTAGGAATGTTTTCTAAATCATTGAGCACAATTGTTTTCTTACTAGAAGAACTTTCATTCTAAAGATTCAATTTTATATGGTCAATTTATATTTTATTTTAGCAAGTTTGCAAAGTATTAGAAAGATAAATGTCAAAATGACAAAATAATTTTCACCTGGTCGTTTCCTTCCATGTTGTTAATGTTGTGAGAGCATGTTGAGAATAATAATTAATTATTGTTTATACCAAATTAATTAATGTAACGTGTAACAAACTTTGCCAATGTACTGTAGATCATAAAAAATTTTTTTTATCGAATTATCACGTGACGGATTTATCGCTGGGAGTCTAATTTTTTGTTTTTATTACATACGTATATTTCAAATTCCGTTTTTGTACATTATAGTAGGACGAAAATGAGTTCTATTTATTACAATAAAATTTTTATAAGTATAAATAAAATAAACATGAATAAAAAGTAGTAGTACCGGGGTATTGCACGCTTTTATTTTTTCTATAATTTTTTATTTTTCGAAAACTGACATTAATATTTAATATGGCGATCACAGCCTGAATTCTATTTGGCATTTATCACACTAAGTTTCGGTACACTTTTTGCGATATCGCATCCCATGCTTCTTTTCAAGCTCAGGAATGCTTGAAGGCTGAGTATTGCATTTTGAATTTCTACCTCAACTATAGACCACATATTCTCAATTGGGTTAAGATCAGGACTTTGAGCAGGCCATGGAAGTAGAGAAAGCAAAAACTCTTGTGCAATCTTCGAAGTTTGAAGTGGCGCATTGCCTTCCTGAAAAATATTTTTTTTTTGCTTTTTGGAAAAATTCCTTAAGCATTGGAACTGTATAAGTGGCAAGTACACCTTTCTAAACTTCTCCAATAACTGAACATTGAGTGGTATAATGGATCCCAACTTTAAAAAGGAAAATCATACCCAAAACATCCTTTGAGGAGAATGTTTTACTGTCAATACAATATAATCTTCATAAATTCCTCACCACACTCATCCCATCCTAAAAATAATGATCGATCTCAAAGATTTCTAGTCTTTTCAGTCTTTTATTTTAAAAGACCAGACTTAAATAACTGCAGTTCTCTTCAGTCTTCTGTTTATGTGATTAAAATCAAAAGACTGCACTGCCAGTCTTTTTGTAAAACTTTAGCCATTTTTTAAAAACTTCGGTTTTCAAAAAGACTGATTAAAGTGATATAAATTTATTGACAATGAGCTGAATTTCATTTCTTTTACAATAAACCGAAATAAATAATAAAAGCAGTTCTTCTTTGATAACGTTGAAGAAAATGAAGCTGAAACATTCCCTTATGATACTTTTGTTAAAAATAAAGCTTTAAATATTGATACTAGTTTGAATGTAATCTAATTTATTGTTATAATATAATGTTATATTTAAAAAAAAATGACTGAATTACAAGACTAACGGTCCTTCCGATCAGTCTTTATAAATTAAAACTGCAGTCCATCCAGTCTGTCTTTGTATAAGTTTGGTAATACAAAGACTAAGAGAGCCGCTAGGACTTATTATCATCTCCTATCCAGATTTGTGAAATTGAAAAAAAGTGAACTCATATGTTTTGACTAGTTTTTTTTAGTCTTCAAATAGTCCAATGTTTTCTTTCCATTACCCATGCAAGCCTTTTAGTCTTATTAATTGCTGTTTTTTTAAGAAATACAAGAAAACACATTATGAAGTGCATGGCGAATAATTCTTTCAGAAATTATTTTAGTAATTAATATTTGCTAAATTATTCCATCTCAATTCTTTGCTTTTGAGAACTTCAGCCTTTAATCTTTGCTTTTCTTAATCATCAATTAAGTATTGTTGACCTGATCATTTTTTAGAAGATTCTCCTAATGTATAAGATGCAAGATATTTTGAAACTATTTTTTGATGACATCCTACATTTTTTGCAATCTATGAATTATTGTAATCCAATTTTTTGGCTGTTATTATGCCTCACTTTTGAATAAGAGTTAATTCTTTAATGAGGTCCATCATATGTTTAGGCGTAAAGATGAAAATTTTGGTTTTTTTTAAATATTGTATTTATTAATTGCTATACATATAATTAAAACAATAAACAAATATCTCTTTAAAAGCAACTGCTATTTGGTATAAAAATCACATGGCTAGTAACTTATAAAAAATTTATTTAAATTTTTATTATTAAACTGTGTAATATTTTTGTTCTCCCTTTCCCGGTAATTCAGCAATAACTTTCTGTTTTGAAGAACATGCTTGTTGTTATACTTCGTTAAATTAATAATGAGTGAGTTTTTAAAGTGATTCAATTTAATAATATATTTCAACATGAATTTGGCCCCTGCAAAGTTAAATATGGTATCAAAATGAGAGCAGCAAAAGTAGTTGTGAAGGTGACGGTTGAAGTAGTGTTGGTGGAGAGTAAGTGGTGGTCATGCTCAGAAGTAGATATAATGGTTTGAACTGTTAGACATACTTTGAAAATATTTGGGATGTAAAAGACGATCTTTGTGCACTTACTATATTTATAATATTTACAGTATACTTGCACTTTTGTAATGATTTTACACATTTTGTATATACCATGTTTATTTTATGAAAAAGAATTATAACTCCTTTTAGGAATACAGGTAACACGATTATAGGTTCTTTTATTACTGTAAAGCAGTGGATGGGATATACATTAGTGGATGTAGTGGATGTGTTCGTGAAACTTACGGTAACTGTAGACGTAGTGACAATTGTAGTGTATGATGGCAATTCTCGGGCACTAAAGCCTTAGTGGTGCCGCGACGGTATGGCATTGCGTAGCAGATGTTGGTAATGAGAAAAAAAATACATCAAAATAAATGCATTTGCTTTGTAATAAATGTCTCGAGTATTCATAAATTTATAGGAATATTCTCAATGAGATGTCGTACGCGCAATGCAATATTTATTGATAATCATGAAATTTTTTATTTTTATTTTATTATAATACGACAATTTTATCAAAATATAATATAAATTTGCAAAACATACATATAATCCTTTCATTAAATTATAATTTCATGAAAATCGTAAGTTTATTTGGATTTGATGCCAATGCTGCCAATGCTCTTCAATATAATTATTCTTTATTATTCTTATCGTTTTTATATTTATAATTAGTTAATTCCTAATAACCTGTCACTAAAAGTGTATTCCTATTGATGATTGATCAACCATTAGATCATTTTTCACGTAACTCGATCTTAATATAAACGACCCAAATAATGTTTCAATTTATATATTAATTATCCGTATTCTAACAAAATAAAATAGCGGTAATTCTTATTTCTTATTTTTTTTTGCCAAATTGTTTTGTTTGATTGTTTAGCATCAAACTAGAAATAAGTGAGAAACTTTGTTAATTAACCACTTCAAGAAAAGCATCTTATATTTTATTATCATTCAATTTAAATTGGTTAATATATCAAAATTTACTATGTTAAAACTTTATATTATGCAATAAATTTAATCAAATTTTTTTAAATAAGGTAATTGACATGAAAATGTTCACTAAAAATATTAGTAGTCAAAATATTTTGCCATAATTAACTGAAAAATGGCCATCTGTGACTATTAGATATTACCTAGAAGAAAATTCGTCATTGAATTTTTATAGAGGAAATAATAAATTGATTCTTATATTATTAACGGTATACAGTAACTATTGATTTTTCTGATAAAAATTAACTAACTAGTAAAAATTGTTAATATCCATGTGATGCATGCATCTGATTATTGGTTTGGTGACGTATTTAAATATATAGATCGGAAATAAAAAATGAGATTCCTGTACGTTTGCTTGGTATTTATTTAATATTATTTGGTAAATATTTTGTTAATTAAATTGGAATAAGATAGAATAAGAAAGAATAAGATTTGCAGAATTTGAAAATAACTTATCAATATAGAGGACGTCTGAAAATGATAAAAATATTAATTACGAAATTGGAACAAATAAGAAATGAAAGGGAACCGGATTTATTTTTTATATCCGGATTTATTTATTTTCAAAAATTGGAACCGGATTTAATCCGAATTTATTATATCCGGTTTCTTCGGATTCAATCCGGATTTATTATATCCGAATTTATTGTAACCAAAAAGCCCTCAACTGCTAACATTGCTTGCAAATATTTAAATTTTTTTGCTTAACGAAAAAAAATCTTATGCAATTAATCTGGTTTATAACGATAAAAAGATAATACATTTGATTGTGTACTTTTCTTTTATTTAGGACACTTTTCAGGCTGCGATACATGAAAAAGTTTTTTAATAATTTTTTATATTTATTTTATTTTATTTTTCATTAAATTTTTGTTACTCATTTTTTTAGGCGATTAATCACTGCGGGACGTAGCCATCGAAAGATCGCGCGGAGAAGTTCCACAGTCGCATTAAACTCGGCTTCGTTATGTATTTTTTTTATTTTCAGTTTTCAATTTTTCAATTTACCTTTTTTTAATTTTCGGTTCGATGGCTTTAAGCCGTACCATTAATATTTTTATAAAGATGTAATACTTGAACCAGAAGAAATTGAAAAAAAACTCGCAAAAATTTACAAGAATTAGAAATAAAAAAAATCTTCACTCAAAGAGAACGACGATAATGAATTAGAAAATTTTTAGTGTCGAATAAACATCATAATTCATTAGCGTAGCATTTGTAAATAAATTCAAATTTAAGTTTAGTTTATAACGATAATATAATAAATTAAAATTTACAAACGAAAATAATAATAAGCATTATTATTTTCGTTTTGGGTTTCTAAATTAAGAATTTGCTAGATCCAAACTTTTAGCCAATATAAATAAATTGTTTTTAGTTAATTGTGACGCGCATTATATAACTGGTCAAAAATAACTAGATTCCGGGGGTTTAAATCGGTTTTTCTACTGGACAAATTTTGTATCCGGTTTTAAATCTAAAACGGGGGAAACCGGATTTAAATCCGAAGGTTCCAACCACTAGATCAGCTAAGTGGTCTAGCAATACTATGACAAATTAAATATCATGCTGATTATTAATTAAGCAAAGGAGGAGAAATAATATTTTTCAAAAGTAAAACAATTATTTTATCAAACATATATTATCGTTAATTTTTATGCTAGCGTTATCTCCTAATTTCGTATTGGAGTATTAAAACAATAGCAATTTTTTTTACAATTATAACTTGGGCGAATGTTGATCACTTGGAAAATCAAAATTTTAAAAGAAAATAGAATGACCTGGCCAGGGTTTTATTTAAAGGAAAATTACACGGGATTCTAACCATTACTGCCTCAGCCGACGCTCTGTATAGACCTACGGAGAAGAGAACTATTTAATTCTATCCTATTCTTATTTCCCATAATGAAATGTATCAATTAATCGATAACGATGGCGGGAATGGCAATATTAGATCCGAAATGTCAGAAAAATCAGAAATGACGGCATAGTCAATAGCTTTTTCTGGGATCGTATAGTAAGTCTGGTTAAATATTTAACATTATTGTAAAATAAAATGTGCAAAATTTAAACATGTATACCCGGGTATAATCAGAAATCTTAATAAACCTCGCGTTTTATCAGGATAAAATAGGTGCTAATATAATTTGATGGTAAGGAATTATTAATGGGAATATAACGTTAACAAAATTATTTATCGGTGACCCTACGTTAGAATTTGAAAACTCAAATCATGATGCTGGCTTTTGAAAACCATAAAGGCGTGCGCTAAAAAAAAAAAATTTAAAAAAGCTTTTTTGTTTAATTCACATTAGAGTTGTTTACGTATTGAAACCACATAACTTGGTCAAATGATCCATTATTTTATTATTATGCTTCGTGAGGTCTTAATGCAAAAATGATTAGTCGTGAATTAATGATCATTAAATGATTAATATATTATTTTGAGTATGGCTTAATCATCATTGAATCCTCCGGAGCATAATAACGTCCTTGATTGGACTTTACCTGCTACTTGACAATTGCGAAATAAATTACTTCTTTCATACGGGATTTTTGATTTATTATATAATTTAATTTAAAGTAAATTATAATATATTGAAACACACTAAATAAAAGTATCAAAAATCTAGATTTATTATGCAATCAGAATGACGTTTTGGCGCATGATATGTCATCAAAACATGCTTATTATTATATAATATTTGTGTATTGATTTGAATTAGCCGGAAAAATTCTCTTGAAGATCATGATGAATAATAACTTGTTTATTTTGTTTCAAAAGAATCTTTCAAATTATTTCGCTGTCAAAATGTCGCTTTTGCAGGATATTTACAATTTAATACGTAATCGTTGTGTAATGATGTAATCGAATGCAAATCACTTATTTTACATAACTGTTTAGATCAAAAGATCTCCCTATAAAAATAATTATAAATTTCCATGTCAACTTTAATAAATTAAATATGGACGCGGTTAATGATAATAAGAGTAAAGAATTAAAAGAACAAAATTATAAATCTCAATATGAGATAAATATGAATCCAGATGAAAAATACATATATCAACAGTATCAAGCATTTGCGAAAAGCGGAAATAATGTAGCACAATACAACTTAGGACGCTGTTATCAATATGGTAAAGGAATACATAAAGATGAAAGAAAGGCGTTTGAATGGTATTTGAAATCTGCTGAAAATGGACATTCAAATGGTCAAAATAAATTGGGATGTTGTTATGAATATGAAATTGGAACAAATAAAGATGAAGAAAAAGCTTTTGAATGGTATGATAAATCAGCTTATAATGGAAATTCCAATGGTCAACATAATTTAGGACATTGTTACGAATATGGAGTTGGAACAGATAAGGATGAAAAGAAAGCATTTGAATGGTATTTGAAATCCGCCGAAAATGGAAATCCTGGTGGTCAAAATAGTTTGGGACGTTTTATGAATATGAAATTGGAAAACATAAGGATGAAAAGAAAGCATTAGAGCGATTTGAAATTCTAATTCTGTTGGTCAAGTTACTGTGTTTGGAAAAAAAGGAGACATTTATTTAAAGTCAATATTTTCAAATTAGGAGGAAATACTCAAATTTATAATGTATTAGCATTATTAAATAAATTATTTGGTAATATTATTATTATTTATTGTTATTTAAAGAAACAAATATCTGATTTTTAGAGAAATATATACATACACGTTACTTCAAGTTGAATTCTTTCTAGATTATAACATTGTAGCTTAATATATATTATCGTTGGTGGTGTGTTGAACGACAATTTATATAGTGGGGACAACACTTGGAATAGTATTCACGAAATGTTCTGAGCAACAGACCTCTATAAATGATTTAGAAGTTCTCGATTTCAAAATAACTATTAGATATTATTAAAGTCAAATAAATCTGAGTATAATATTTAATTTTTTATAAACTCAATATAAGGAAGGATAGCAGATTTACTAATTGAGAATATGAATCTACCTTAACATTTATTAAATGCAAATAACAAAGTAGATGTATTTGATTGCTTATAATAAAGTACTGAAGAGTTTTAAGTATACTATATTGGCCATAATAAGATATTATAAAAAAAAATAATTCTTTATCCTGTATCATTAATTTTAATGTGGCAAAGTAATTTTAATACATTTTCAAAAATAAAAAATTAATGATGTCATGCGCAGTTTTTATATTGAAAACGATAGTAAAAGGATTATGTTTATAATTTGGTTTTATTATTAACAACAAAATACTAACAAAACCACGTACCAAAGAGTATAAGAGCACTCTATGAATTATACGTATTATCTTAAAAATGTACAAATTTAGCACCCGAGTAAATAAGAAATTTTTTTAATATAATAGTTATTTCGCGCGAATTGTGACGCAGATTATATTTACAACATACTAAGAATTATACAGGATACTGACTAATCTTTTTTTTGTATTCATTCTCGAATGATGTAGAATAATACACTTGAAACTATTTTTTTTCTAAACTTAAAAAAATAATAAAGGCCGCTTAAATGTTAAATAAATTACGTAGTTGGTCAGTTTTACTGCAAGATCTCGAATACGAAAATTGATTTGTTAAGCATTTAAAAAATTTACAATCTTTTAATAACGCCGTGATAAGAATCAAAGATATTTACGATTAATTTTGTTTTAGCGTAAATACAACGTTATGACGTCATTTAATGACGAAAAAAACGAAAAGTAGAGCCTCTGACGATTTATTTATCTCAAATAAATAAAAAAACGTTTTATAAGAATAATCCACAAAAGTGAACTATTGAAAGATTTTAACGATAATCGAATATTAATTTACAAGAAACGGGAGGGAAAACTTTAAGTTATAAAAAATGAGAGGAAAAAAACGTTTAAAATGTTATCGATGTATCGATGCGTGCGTAAAAAAAGTAAACGGACAGAAACATATAAGTGAAAAGAGTGAAAACTATTGACGGGGTATACATGTAAGGTAAGAAACGATCGATAAAGTAATAAATTTGCAAGAAACGAACGAAATATTTTTTTTTTTTTTAAAAAAAAAAAATAAAAAAAAAATAAACGAAAAGAGTAAATAATTTACACAAGTTGAATTTTTTTTAACAACTAGTACTTTTTTTTTTTAAAAAAAAAAAAAGGAAAAAAAAAAGAAAGTCCTTTTTTAGATTTACATCGGAAGAAATAATCGAAAGGTTGGTTGTTAATTAACCATTAAAACCTTTAATTATTTTATTGACTTCATCAGCTAAAGCTTTCAAAACCGTTCTTTGTTGGACGGTAGCAGCTCTCAACAACATATCCGTAGCCCTACTAATAGCGCGTTCATTAGACGATATGTTGGTATCTGAAACAAAGAAGCGCAGTATCCCTCTCATGTTTATGAGTTTGACTCTAGGATTGGGTCTATTTTTGTATAATAAATTTTTATACATTGTGTCAGGGTTTACTATGGGAAAGACCAAGCCTTCATCCATAATAAAGGGTTGCAAAAGCCTTGCGACGTCTTGATTGAATATACAGGTGTGATTATTAAAATTGATTGTTATAAATTCTATTATATTCATGGTTGCAAGAAAAAAAAAAATCAAAAAAAAAAAAATACTGAAATTTTTTTAAAAAAAATATTTGTTTTATTTTTCCTTTTTTTTTTGAGAAAAAACAAGTATATAAATAATAATTTTTTTTTATCTCCGAAATCAACCCAGTCAATCTATTACCCTTATTAGGAGATCTGAACGCGTCTTATCAAAGTATTATTATTAACTGGATTAACTGGATTTTCCAGTTAAAATAATAAAAGTCAAATCGGACATTACCGAAATTTAATGATATATTCATTGATTGGTTACTTTTTGAGCAAAAATGAGGGAGAATTATATTAATTGCACTCATAACAAGTTTAAATAAATACGTTATGATGTATTAAAGGTAAACAAAACATTCCCTAGCATTCAAAGCCCTAGACACTCACTCCCGTCTTTGTTACAATTTACTTTTATGATCGATTCCGTAGAGTAATTAATTATCTTAGTATATATTTTCATTTTATAATGAAAATCAATTTATGTTTAAAAAATAAAATAGACAAATATTTGATACGAGTAAGGAAACTTTTGCTTTATGTTAATCACTTTGTTTTTGTGTTTTTGTAATACAAAAAATTCTTAAGTACGAACAAATTAGACAAAATCTTCCATAGAACATATCGATTAAACATGAATTATGAAATAAATTTTAAATGTAGACTTGCAATCTATTTTCCGTTCCGTTAAATTAACAAAGTAAAAATAGATGTGAATACAAAAATATTAACTTAATGTTGTAATATTATTTCCATGTTACACGATTTTAATTGTTATTTACCCGAATTTACCAACAGCGAACTTAATGAATTTGATACCACAGTGTATTGCGTCATAATATTTCCACATGGCATTCTGTTCTGTCGTGTGATATTATTTACTATGATTTTATTACTAAATTTCGAAATCGTAATAAATATTAAAAATTTTATTATTATTATTATTATTATTAATTTTATAGGTATAATCGATAAAGAATCATTTGCTGTTTTATTTACCAACTATTCCTATCATTTAATTAAAACAAAACAAAACAAAATTTTTGTAGAACGAACTTTAAAGTTTTCAGTGATTTTGTCCCAAACCAATGAGAGACAGAACGAAATGCTTTGAAAAGTCTCGTGCCGATGGCGATCATTTTTTTAGAACACTGGATTTTAAGAAAACCCTTACAAATATTTAATGATTTGCATTTAACCTATGAAAGCAAAGTGTCTAAAATATTTTTAATCATATTATCAACCAATAAGTATTCGGACGCATAAAATAAGTTGCAATTCGCTTTTAACGAACCTTATGTATTCTGTAGTTGCGCTTCGTTATAGAACGAGAATTCTCTAACTTATAATAGATATTATCGCACGGCCCTATAGGATCATGCTGAGGTTGTTTGACCAATATTTTTTTTATATTATATAATATTTAGCATCAATAGCTATTCATCGTCAATATTGAATATTAGTAGTAGCTAAATTGCGTTCAATATGAATTATATAGTTAATTATATAAAAAAATTTTTTTATATTAATTTCCATAATAATTAGTCTTTCTTAAATTTCACTATAAAAAAAATACACTAAAAAGCATTAATTACTTAGTTATAATTATTCTTGGTATATTGCATGAGATATTTGACCATTGTAGTAATTAATTAATTTGAAAAAAAAGAGATAGCTCACTTAATATTTAAACATAACAGTTTGCGTTATAAAGAATTGAGAATCAGCCACGAGAAAAAACGTAAATTATTAACATAAAGTAATAACATAACATTCTCCTATCATTTCTTTTATTATATTCCTACTGCGGAATAATAAACTTTGCTTTGGTAACAGAAAATATTATTTTCTAGAGACTTAGAAATTAATATTATAATAACAATTTTTTTATTTACAAATGATATTATTCGTATGACATTGATTTGAGATAATTTTAAAGAATAATAGAAGTTAAGAAAAAGAATTGTTAGGATTCGATAAGCTTTTTTTTTATAAAGCATGATCTTGTGAGCCGTACGATAATTAATATATATGTTGTACACACTTCGTGACGTTAACAAATATAAATATAACTCACCGTACATCCATAAAATATTTTTTTGCTTTAATAAAAAAAAAAATTATAACCACGTTACATCAGTGATGGCAAGTGACCTGAAATGACCCAAATGACTTTGATGACTGGTCACTAGTCATTAAGTCACTTTAAAAGCT